CCTCAGTGCTTCATAGCGAATTTAAGAATGTGAGTCATGCAGTTGGATTGCCTGGAAAAAATGTACCAGATCTTGGAAATTTGGCAATATACAGTAAATCTTGTTTGTAATGATTGCGTTTGCAAGATACTTGAAGGTCACAATCTTTTAGATGCATAAATCCTAGTGTTTTTTGTAAATTCAGAAGGCTTTAAAAGACAGGTCTGGTCTGTGCATTTAGTTGGGTGAAGAATTCAAACGAAGCTGGTCATTTGATTGTTCCAGCATTTTGGTCAGCAAGAGGATGACAATCTAACATGCGGAGTCGAGCTTAAAAACCAAACAGATATTTCAGCATAAAAACCAAGGCTTTCAATTGAAGAAACTCAACAGGGTCTTTGCAAATCAAATGACTGAAACAAAATTCTTAATCCTTTACCCTTTTTTCTCTCCTCTACAAGAAAATTCTTGATTTGAATGGCCGAATAAATATAGTAGTATGATAAATGTAGTGCATATGTACACCATTTCTATCTGTTGCTTGAGCAATAGACAGGTTCTTTCCAAGTGAAACTTGTTAACGACAAAAAGTAGCACGACGCCAACAACAGGAAAACAGGGGCTGGTAAGGCAATACTAATGCACCATAATAATATATAACTCCATTGCCATGCTACTACAAGCTAACCATAGATCAGCAATACAAGGTTGTGCCTATTGTAGTTCCATTAGAGAATCCAAAGTTCGTTGTATGAGGTAATCCAATCCAACGAACACGCTAGACTGACGAATAAAAACCTAACTGGCTCTCAGACAACCTCTCTGGTATGACCATAGCATTAGAACATCACAGAGCTAAAGAGAAGGGGCAAGGAAAAAGAAAAACCGCAAAACATACACAGGGTAAACTATGTGAACTTGAGAATGCTTTTTGAAGCAAGAACTGTTCAAGAGTTGTGAGCATCAACCAAAAAGCAAAAGAATTTTATTAAATTAAAAACAATAAAACGGTAGATTTATCATTTGCCCATGAATTGGCCCTCCTGAATATTCAGATGAAGAGAAAAACTTACATAGAGAAAAGGTTATAGAATGTACATCAATCAGGTAAGAATTTTCATCCAAAGAGAAATGCTAATGCAATTGTAGTAGTCGAAAATCCATAAATCATTCTGTCAGCTGTATGGTGAAAAATTTTAGACTAGAATATTCAATTCCAGAATGAACAAAAAAAAAACGACAAAACCGTTTCACAGATACTATAAGAGCCATGTTAACTCACAAGCACAGCATACAAAGAATACACCTTTTAGCACTGCTTGATGACACTCTAGATTCTTCATACCATCTCAAATTAGCATACAAATGCATCTGAATATCCGCAACTACACATACCCTACCCTTCCTTTCACTTGGATTACTCACTTCTTTTTTTCTTTACACTTTTGGCTGTGCTCTAACAATAACTTAACTGAAAAAGCTAAGCCCAGAGCCAAGAAGAGCAAGGGACCAGTGTTCAACTTCTAAAGCTAAAAGTCATAGACTGAAGAACTTACCCACTTGAATTATAATTCCTAACAATAGAGCTCCCCTACCTTGTTCCCTCACAATTCTAATGCATGTAATCTCTTAAATTCATACACATTTGGTGCAAATAAACAGAGATACAAGTTTATGCAATATATAAGGGAATAACATGGGGTAAAATCCACAAACAAAATACGTACATATTGCACATATGGTTTGAAACTTTGAGACAAAACACCAATGTATCAACCCTAGCACAAAACCCACACAGCACAATCTCTGCCTTCCCTTCCATTGATCATATCAACTTGAAAAGAAAATACTAAGCTTGCTAGAGAAACTAATCTGCACCTTAAAGTGAAGTGCAAAATTTGAGGAAAATGAGAGATTTCACAGACAAAAGAAACTATATTTGAAGCATAGCAACTCTGAATTACCATATATTTCTCTTGACACATAGCACAACAACTCATTGCCTCCAACAACAAACAAAAAAGGATCAAAATTGAATCCAATCCTAAACATAAAAAGCAAAAAGAAATTAAAAACTGACTATTCTAGTCGTCGTTGCTGTTCTTCTTCTTCTTCTTGTTCTTGTTGATCAAATCATCAGGAACAACCTTGAGCAGCTTCCGGTCCTTGCTCTTGGCAATCTTCTTCAGCGTCTTCGGATTCGAAATCACCTGCAGCTTCGTCCCGGACCTCAAGATGTTCTCCTGCTTCTTCTTATCCCTCTCCTCTTTCTTCTTCCTCTTCTCCTCCTTGTTCTTCTTGATTTCGCCCTTCAGCTCCGCCATTCTCTCTCTGTACGCCCGCTTTATCTCCTTCTCCTTCGCTCTCTCCTCGAAAGTCGTCCCCTTATGGCTAACGTGCGTCGCCGACGCCCTCTGCTTCCTCGGCTGCTTCCACTTCCGGCCGGAGACTCTCCCCGCGATCACGCCGTCGTAGCTCGGCTTCCCGAAGCTCGGCTTGTCGGGATTGTCTGACGAGGGTATCGCCGACCGCTTTGACGGAGGTAAACACGTGTCGTCGATTTCCATTGCAGCACTGACAGAGCCAAAGACTGAAGCATCTTCGTTGGCGGTGGGTTCGGGGTTTCTCTTGCGCTTGTAGGTTTTGCCGCCGAAGCCTTCGTCTAGGCGGCGGAAATCGATTGTGCAGGCCATGGATGAACTAGGTCTTTAGTCTTGTGCCGCCACAAACACTGGATGTAGCTATTTATATGCAACGATTTTTGTTTTTAAGTATTTATATGCAACAAATTAGAATTTAGCAACGTTTAATGACATTTCATTTTATTTACCAAAAGCCAATTGTATAATAATAATAATAATTAATTAATTAATTAAAACTTGTAAATTGCAAAATAATATTGACAATTTCTTAAAACATTAAAAACCACTAGACTATTTTCTTTTCAATTAATAGGGCATTCACATACAATTTGTTGAAAAACATATCTCATAAGAAATACTTTTTGTTTTTTTCACACAAAACTAATAAGTTTGAGCTGAAATAAGTTTGTAGATCCTCACATCAAGTAAAAACTTTAAAACAAATATTTTTCTTTACAAACTTATTAGTAAAACTAGGGTTGGGCTTTGAGCTGGAAAATCAAAAAACCCTGCCGAACGGAACTGACTGGTCAAGTTTGGTACGGTTTTTTCATTTACTTATTTAAACTCGGTTCTCTCTCTCTCTCTCTCTCCCGTTGTTGTTGGTTGTTGAAACCGACCGGATTGTACCGATTTCTAAGTGAATCGGTCGTAGTCGGTTAAAGTGCTCTTTGATTCGGTGTCAGTATCTGAAAAGGGCATATCGATAAAGTTGGTAATGTGTGGTTCTGGCCTTATCGGTGTAGTTCAGCTTTGTTGCCCAATCCTACTTAAAATTAGTGTATTCGGAAATATCTCAAAGTCCACATGTTGTGTTACGCACCTTTTGTTATCCAATTTATTTTATACTTGTTTTTTCATTCCTAATACTCACACATAGTTTAGGTAATCTATCTAGTTAATTCTCTCACCTTTTATTTATTTAGTAATGTAAACACTTATGAACTATTTGTAAGCGAGATAGGTCCAAGTGAGTTGAAATAAAAAACATATGAACTATTGTAACTAACAAGCTGTTAGGGTTTGTTTGTGGCTACTTTTATTGGAAACACTTATGTTCATAAAACCTTTTTTTATTTTATTTTATTAAAAATCTAAATACCTCCTAGACAAGCATAGAAAGTTGCTTCAAGACGCATAATTACTTTTAAATTTTTACTCCAAATGCTTACATAAATAATTTTAGCAATTTTAAAAGTAGTCTAGTGCTGGACCTATTCTCCCCTCTTTATGGGTATTTTGCTCTCCCCTTTGGTGGGTGTTTAGCTCGAGCTCTGCTCCAATTTTGAGGCTTCATGCCTCTGGCTTCCTTTATTTCCCCAAATCCCCCTTTAGCTGTCATCCCTTGTATTATATTGTCCCTCACTCCACCTATTTCCTCTTATCTCCCTCACCCACTCCATTCAAATCCCTTTTCTATGGTATTGGTATCGTCCTTACCCACTGAAATTTTCTCCTCCTTATTGATATGGCTTCACCATGTGGCTGATTCGGCTAGCCGTAAAGGCATTTTCGCTCGTACAACACTGAAGGTGTGTAGAGTTCGAGCTCTTGCTCTTGCTCGGGTGCCTGCACCACCTCTTTCTACTATGTCGATGTTTGCTTGGTTTTTGTGTTTGTTCTGGTGCTTTGTCAGTTTTGATCTGGGAGGTGATGATCTTCTTGTGGCTGGCTTCTTTTTTCTTGTCTGTATTTATGTAATATGTGGGATTTTAAGGTATTTGGGTGGATATGTGGGTCGTACCGTACGTTTGTTTCTTTTTGTGCTCCTTATGTGTGGCAGCTCATCCCCTCAACTTGTCCAGGTGATGTCGTCTCAAGCATTGGCGGTGGCTTGATTGTGCTTTGTTTAGGGTTTGTTTGCTATTTTGGCCTTGTTTTGGGCTTGTGTGCCTTTTGGGATTTAAGCTTTCTTTAGCATTTTATTTGGGCCTCTGGCCTTTTTGCTTGTTACTGAGCTCAGTTGGTTGGGTCTCACCTTTTTTGTTTTGTTGTGCCATTTTGTGGTTTCTTAATGAAATCTATTTCCGACCCAAAAAAAAAGAAAAAAAAAAGTCTAGTGATACTTATTTCTCAATGTTGAAAGAGGTTCCAACCAATTCGAAAACCTCATCCCCCAATGATTGAAAATAAAGAGGTATTGTAATATTAGTTGGAAAGCTAAGAAATTTTTTTATTTTATCGGACGACAAAAAACAAAATTTCTTATTTAAGTATTTGAGATTGAATGATAGATCTTTTTAGTGGTATTTTTTTTTTAAATATTAATAAAAAAGTTATTTATTTTTAAATTTCAATTCAAGAAGTTGCGTTTGAATTTCTTAGCGCTCGGACAAAAGAAAAGGAAACATTGTCTGTAGCAAAAGCCCAAACAGAGAACAAAGATTATACTCTGAAAAGAGCCCAAACAAGCGAGAGAGAGACATAAATACAGAACCTTGGAGCAGATGGAAAGATAAGAGCCGTCAGTCTCACTATGACCACTCCACCGTGCAGCTCAGAGCAACCAACAACCGATCAGTGAGAGTGGAAATATTACGTCAACTTTTCATGGATGTAGTAATTGTCATGTCAGAGGCGAAGATACTTGCAAGACTTTTATCGACCACCGCTCCATAGCCTTGGTCAACGCCATGTAAGCCGGTAAGCAATCTATATTTATTCGGCCATGCCCTTACAGCCTGTGTGGAAGTGAATCTATGCTTATATGTTATTCCTAATTTCTATTGAGCTTAGTGCCTGCTTATTATAGATCTACTTATAATTAGAAGAAATTCATGTTTAAGAGGATCAGAAAATTCCCAGAGTACTAATTCATAATTTGGCTCTCTCTGTTTTGATCAGTGGGTGAAGAATCTTAAAGGCGTAGCTTTTGATGGAGAAGATGTGTTGGATGAAATCAATTGTGAAGTTCTTCGGCATAAAGTAGAATTGGAGAACCATATAAAGAAAAAGGTACTAATCTTTCTTTTTGCCTCCGATCCCACTTTGTTTCGTCAGAAAATGGAACATAGAATGAAGTCTATGAACGCATCTTTGGTGAGTGAGGCATCTTTCATTGGACTAGTTAATAAGAAAAAACACAAAGATGCAACCCTTCAAGCAATAGAGGACATAGAAAGCAACTCATTCTTTGGTAAGGATGAATACATCGTTGGAAGAAAGGAGGAAGTGTCAAGTATAGTTGCAACCTTGATTATCTCCAACAGTCGAGAAAGTATTTTGGTTATTGTAGGAATGGGTGGTGTAGGAAAGACAACTTCGGATGGGTTAGTGTACAATGAACCTGACAAAGAAAAGATATGTTGTCGTCCTTGATGACATTTGGAACGAAGATGAAGAAAAATGGAATAGTTTGATTAGTTGTTTGTCAAAACTCGATTTCGTTTAGGGGATCACCAATATTGTTACTAAACCATCTTTGAAACAATGTTTTGCATATTGCTCAATGTTCATGAAAGATTTCAGTTGGTGAGTTGAAACACTTGAGGTATTTGGATGTTTCTAGAACTAATATCAAAGCACTCTCCAATTCTATTGGAAAAATTTGTAATCTACAAACATTGAGGATGACATCCTGTTTCTCATTTGAAGAGTTTCCAAAGAAATTGCAAAATTTGATCAACTTGAGCCACATTTAGTTTGATGGACGTATGAGATTTCTCGTTGGTGTGGGGCGACCAACTAATCTCCAAATATTATCTAAAGTTGCAGTAATGGGAGGGGTTGGGGAATATGTGCAACATGAAGAAGAAGCATTGAAAGAAAATTTAGTGGGAAAGACAAACATATACATTTTAAGATTTGTAAGGGACCCAAATAGGCTAAGGAGCAACAAGAAGGAGAATGTACTAGAAGGCCTCCAACCGCACCCTAATTTGGAAATTTTAGAGATGGAGAATTTCACGGTTGCTACATTTCCATCATGGATGATCCTGAGTTTGTCGTTGCCAACTCTCAGTCATCTTCTTAATCTTAGACATCTTGAGATTAATAGATGGATAAATTTAAAATGTGAGGTTGCTAAGTTTTATGGATATGATGTAGTAGTTACGAGCAAGGAGACAAGGGCTTTGTTTCCAGTCTTGAAGACTTTCAAATTAGTGATACCCCAAACCTAATTGAATGGATGGAAGCACCTGTGAAGCCTCCTGATTAATAGTGGTGTTTCCTTGCCTTAAGGAGCTGTCTCTCTCATATTGTCAGAAACTGAGAAATGTTCCAAGTCATTTATTTTTTAATTGAATATATATTTATGTTTGTCAAACCTACCCAGTCGGTTGAACAGATGTACATTCCTTCAAGATTTGGAAATAAGAGTGTAAAGTCTGATGTTCATTCAATTCACAATCTAATACCCTCTGTTATTTTCATTTAACTTTTTATTTTTTTTGAAATTCTTCTTACTTTCTTTGTTTTGAAATTTGGGAGTGTCAAAATCCCATTTGATATGAGGAGGAACTTTCTTTGTATGAAGTTGAAGATATCAATTTATGGTTACAAGATGGATCAACTGATGTCGGCATACTTGTAATTTATGGGATGAGTGGAATAGGGAAGACAACAATTGCAAAATTGGTTTATAATTCAAATTTTAGAAAATTCGAAGGAAGCAGCTTTATTGAAAATATCAGAGAATTTTCACAACACACCCATGGCTTAGTCAAAATACAAAGACAACTTCTTTATGATATTCTACATGGGATAAAAGTGAAAATACACAGCGTTAGTGAGGGAATATCTAAGATAGAAGATGTCATAAGCTCTAAAGGGGTTCTTCTTGTTCTAGACGATGTGGATCATGTAGATCAATTAGATGCAGTACTTAGGATGAAAAATCGATTTTACCCAGGAAATAAAATCGTTATAACAACTAGACGTTCAGGATTATTAAAGGGTCATCAAGTTACTAAGGTTCTTGACGTTGAAACATTGGATTACGATGAATCCTTAGAGCTCTTCAGGTGGTATGCTTTTGGCCAAGACCACCCCATTGAAGGTTACCTAGAATATTCAGAAAAAGCAGTGTACCATTGTGGAGGACTTCCATTAGCTCTTAAAGTTTTAGGTGATCTTCTCCATTGGGTGAAAGTATTGGTGTATGGAAAAGTGCATTTGAGAAGTTGGAAGCTATTCCAAATGTTGAAATCATGAATAAACTGAGAATAAGCTATGATTCTTTACAAGATGACCACGACCGAAAATTATTCCTCCACATTGCCTGTTTCTTTATCGAAAAGGAAAAAGATTACATTGTCAGAATACTAGATGGATGTGATTTCTATACAATTGTTGGCATTCAAAACCTTGTTGATAGGATGTTTAGTGACAATTGATGGATATAACAAGGTGCAAATGCATGACATGATTTGGGATATGGGAAGAGAAATTGTTTGCCTAGAATCAGAGGAGCCTGGAAAACGTAGTAGATTATGGCATCATAAGGATTCTTTCAAAGTATTGATAGAAAAGAATGTAAGTAACGTACTTTGTATGTGTGCCTATATATGTTTTTCTTATTTTTGCGAAGTATCCAAACGTTTTTCCATTTTCTTGTGTAGGGTATGCAAACGATTGAAGGTCTTGTCCTGGGGATGCATATGCTCCCTGCAAACAGTGAAATAAGCTCAAATGGGACAGTCTTCGAAACCAATGCATTTGCAAGGATGCCCAAACTGAAACTACTCCATCTTGGTCATGTACAAGTTGATGGATGTTATGCAGAATTTCCTACAGGATTAAGATGGTTGTGTTGGGTTGAATTTCCTTTGGATTCTGTACCTGCTAATTTTCCTCTAGAGAGCCTGATTGTTCTTGAAATGCAATATAGCAGCTTGAGGCAAGTCTGCAAAGGGGCAAAAGTACATTACACTTTCAATTCCTTTTTGTTTTAGGCTTTCACAGGTTCTTCCATCATTGAAGATCCTTGATCTCAGCCATTATCATGGCCTTATCGACACCGATGACTTTTCGGTTTGCCCCAATATAGAGAAATTGATTCTTGCAGATTGCACAGGGCTGATTGATCTCATCAGTTACGATGACGAGGAACATGGAATCTTGTAAAGTGCTTGAAACAAATGGAATTCCAATAAGTGAATTATGGCCAGGAAGAAGTCCATATATCTTGAGTTCTTTCCCATGCTCGTTAGTATATTTAAGTCTTAAAAAGTGTGCAATCTTTCGGATGATGCCTTTCCAAGGGATTTTGGTTATCTTTCGTCATTGAAAACCCTAAATCTTGGGAATAATCCAATTTGTACCCTGCCAAATTGCATCAAAGGTTTAACAAAGGCTCCGTAGACTATCTTTTTCCAAATGTAGGAGGCTCAAATCGCTTTTAGGGCTACCAAAAGTAGAGCAATTGAATGTGGAGATTGCATATCATTGGAAAAAATCACATATCAATCCTTTTCCACAAGCAGGGCACTACCCGATTGCGTAAGAACGACAACCTAATTGAGTGGGAGTGCAACTTCAAGTTAGAACCCATTGAAAGAGCTGATGTAGAAATGATCAACCTCTTGGGCTTGTCTAACTTGGAATCCATGGCACCTGTTCGGATGGAGAACCCATGTGCAAATTTTCTTGTTCACGAGCTCTCTTATGGTCAATAAAAGAATCCTCAAAAGTAAAAGGTTAGTGACTGTGAGTATGCCAAACCAACAAAGCTGTGGCAGTCGTGGTTGATCAAACAATGTCATCAGTTCATCATCTCTTCATGCAGGAGCATTCAACATTCAAGCGACCCTTTTGAGGCTCCGCTGGCGTCTAAAAACACATGAAAATTGTCAATTTAAAAAAGAAGATTTAAAATCCGAGTCCCAAATACACCAAATGCTGATTCCCTCTCTGCCCCATGCATAACCATTCATTCTGTGTGGAATCTCTAAATATACTCCACCAAAAAAAAAAAAAATTTCCCTAAATATAATTAAGCAGCAACTTGTTCACTAGTGCTATGCAATTCAAAAAGTAAAAGGGAGATTCACTATTATACCCAATGTATGAGCTCAAATTATAAAAAAATTATATATGATATGGACTTTAGAAACACACCCAAAACCCATTTACAACATAATAAAAAGGCATTTAACTTCTTTTAAATTGCAAAACTGCCGTTGATTTCTTAAAACAAACTCCCCCTAAAACCTCATAAAAAAACCCAAGGCACTCAATAGGGCATCAAAGTAATTTAATAATCAAAATAAAATTCAATAGGGCCAGCTGTCATTTTTTGGGTTTGTTTATAGAAATTAAATGGTGTAGAGTTTATCTATATTAATAGTGCTAAGAATGAATATATGACTAAATATGTCAAAAATGGAACAATGTACTTGAACATCTCCCTCTATAATTAGAAACTATCCATCCAATTTTGTCCAAACTGGTGTGCAAACTTATCCCTCCATATTGGTCAAATTGTTGTTTTTTTTTTGGTCGAAAATGTCTTTCATCAAAGCCCAAAAAAGGGGCAAGAGAAACAAACAGACAAGAGGAAACAACAGCTCACGAGGAGCCGAAAGAGAAAAGCTATGGTTTGTTATATTAAATTGTAAAAGCAGTCCACCACTCCACGCCACTTGTTTACCAATTCTTATTCAAATTCATTCTTTTATTTGAGTGCCTATAGAGTCTAGAGGAAGAGAATAACCATAGAATTGCTCTTCTAAAGCTTCATCTATTCATCTTCATTGAGTGCCTATTCATAGGTATTTGGAATACAATATAGTGAGTTATTGGGAGGGTGAGTCATATGGTAGGTATACTATGGGCATGGTGGGCATCCATTACATATAGTTTGCAACAGTTTACAATATTTCTTTATTTTTGGACCTTCGAATCATTGTTGTTTGTAATTTTATAAATGCTATTCAAGCGCACGCCGACGAAATTGTGCATCAAGTTTGCTTTTTCTTCTTTTTTTCCCAGTGAATTGTCCCTTATATGATAATCGAACTTTGATCATTACCCCCTTCCCCCCTTCCCCCTCCCCCTCTCCTCTTCCCCAACCACCCCACAACCCCCCCCAAAAAAAACCCCCCATTTTAATATATATATATAGTCCATGCAGCGGTGTTAATTTGGAGGACTATCATGATAGAAAGAAAAAACCTTAGGAAAATCCCATTGTCTTTATATTATCCATCTTTGTGATAGTACTAGGCAGAACCAAGAATTTTTCTACCAGTGGGCTAGCTAGAATACATTAAATCATATAAGTTATGCTAATTCATAGCTTCATTAACTAATTTCCAATAAGTTTTAACATAAAACAAATACATATTAAATGTAATAAAAAAATACATATTATCAAAATGAATATATGTTCAACAACATAATTCCAAGTGTATCTATTGAAGTTGTGCCGTGTGAGAAAATTGAAAAAGATTAAAATTTGAGAATTAGGAGTAAGGGCTTTACCTTTACTATGGGTATTAATGATGAGGTCGACTTTGATAGCACACCATATAGAGAGTCAGCATATATTTTTTTGAGACCACTAAGGCTAAGTTTCACATATATCCTTTTTTTTATATATAAAAAAAAAAAAGAAAAAAAAAAAGAAAAAGAATGTCATACTTCATTATGTGGTGGGACCAACTAGTATGTTAGGATTTCATTATGATTGTAGTCAGACTTGGAAACTTCATTACATGGAAACCGCCAAGAAGCCACAAAACATGAAGGGGCCATCCACTCAATGGGATATATATGTTTAATATTTTTTTTTCTTTTCAAAAAATTACAGTAGCCGCTTTATAGGTTTAATAATTTTGTTTTTGCAGAAAGCTACCTGGGCTACAGCCCAATGTTGCCCAAAATTATTGACAGTTTTAAAATGGCCATATCTTCATATAATTAGAGTTGAAATTTTACAAGAAACTCCTAAGATAGTTTTTATAATTTTTTTTATAATTTTTTTTATTTATATAAAAAAACTGCTGATAAAACTCGGATACTTATTTGGATTAAGTTAATCAACCCAATTTATTCAATCGATTTTTCCATTTTACATCATGAGAGCGACACTTCTGAGCATATGTGTAGGGTTTGTTATGTTAAATTGTAAAAGCAGTCCACCACTCCCGGCCACTTGTTGAGCACTGCTATGGTTGATTTTTTTAAATTCGTATTCAAATTCATTCTCTTATTTCTTTCTTATTTTCTTAACTTTGTTTATGTTATAGAATTGCTCTTCTAAAGCTTCATCTATTCATCTTCGTTGAGTGCCTATTTATAGGCATTTAAAATACAATATAGTGAGTTCTTGGGAGAGTGAGTCATATAGTAGATATACTATTGGCATGGTGGGCATCCATTACATATAGTTTGCAACAGTTTACGATATTTCTATACTTTTTCGAACTTCGAATCATTGTTGTTTGTAATTTTTTAAAGGGTTAATCATTTTATTAGTCCCTGAACTTAAACCAGATTTGCTTTTAAGTACCTCAATTTTCAAAATGGTTCCCGTGGTCTTTTAACTTCACTTTCCTTAGGACAAATGGTCATGCCGTCAATTTTGTTAACTTTTTTTGTTAAATGCAGGGGCAACATGGTATTTTTATATTAAAACAAAAAAAATGAATAAAAAATCATATCTTTAAAATAACAATAAAAGAAAATCAAATAAGAAACCAACAACAAAAAAAAAAAAGTTTGGGGGGAGTAGAAATCAAGGTAGAGGGGAGAGAGAGTTTAATTTTAATTTTTTATTCATGAAACTAAGGTAGAGGGTATAGGGGGCTAATTGAAACTAAGGTACAAGTTCAGGGGGCAAATTGAAACTAAGGTAGAGGGCAAATTAATTTTAATTTTAATTTTTTAATTTTAAATTAGGGTAGAGGGTATATGGGGCTAATTGAAACTAAGGTACAAGTTCAGGGGGCAAATCACCAGTATACCCTTTTTTGTTATATCAAGGGAGAAGAGGTTTGGAAAATAGTTGGTAGTGTTTAGGACAATAACTTAAGTTGGAAAGGAAAACTTTTGAAAGAGTAACAAAGTAAGGGTTAATTACTCAAATGGTCCTCAAACTTGTACGCGAACTTTGTTGGGTAAATTACTCAAATGGTCCCCAAATTTGTACGCGATTTACATTTTGGGGCATGAATTAAATTTTTCGTTCAAATGGTCCATCAACTCTATATTAATTACTCAAATGGTCCCACCGTCTAATTTTCTGTTAGATTTAACCAAATTTTAGGGTAAATAATGACCAATTTGCCCTCATATTTAACGGAAATATTGACAGAATGTAACGGTGGGACCATTTGAGTAATTAATATAGAGTTGATGGACCATTTGAACGAAAAATTTAATTCATGCCCCAAAATGTAAATCGCGTACAAATTTGGGGACCATTTGAGTAATTTACCCAACAAAGTAATTTTATTTGAATGGAGGACGAAGTTACAAAGCTTTAGAGACTATATGGATACAAGGCAGCTGGTAGTTTTTCAGAGTTCTCTTTCTTAATTACATAATGGGATGCTAGCTAATATATATAGTGATCCTAGCCGACTATCTAAGTTGGCTTTTTTGCTTAGTTAAGTCGGTTTGTACAGTAACCAACTTTGTCTAAGCAATTTTCAGCCATATATTGTAGTTTCTACTGGAGCTTTCTACTAGCTTCAATTGACTAGTGTTTTAGGAAATACAACCACCGACTCTTCATTCTAAATTATTCTAGAAAATTCTATATTGTAAAAATCTCCACCAAATGTGCATTAATGTTGTACACTCCTCACTCCTCCTTAATGCACATCTGTGTGATTCCGAGCATGTTTCGGAGCATTTCGAATCTTGGTCTTGGAAGTGCCTTAGTGAAGATGTCTGCAATCTGCTCCTCTATTTTGCAGTACTTGAGTTCAACTTCTTTGTTTGCTAAGAGTTCTCGTAAGAAGTGATGCTTGATGGCGATATGCTTTGTCATGCTGTGGAATACTGGATTCTTCGCCATTGCTATAGCAGACTTATTGTCGCAAAATATTTCAGTAGCTTCTGTTTGGCACTCTCCCATATCTTTAAATATTCTTCTGAGCCAAATAGCTTGGCATGTTGAACTTGCTACTGCTACGTACTCGGCTTCTGCTGATGATTGAGCCACCGTCTCTTGTTTCTTTGATGACCATGAAAATATTCCTGATCCAATTGTAAATGCATAGCCTGATGTGCTTTTCATGTCATCTACTGATCCAGCCCAATCACTGTTCGTATAGCCAAGTAGTCTTGGATCTGTAGTAGGCTTATACCATATGCCATAGTCAATTGTGCCTTGCAAGTATCTTAATATTCTTTTTGCTGCTCCATAGT